GTCCCTACCACAGCCCCAAGTCAAGAACATTCTCTTTTCATTGTTTGTCCACTTCACCTAAGAGTTTTAATTGTGGGGTGAGCACATGCCCTGGTTTTCCCGTTAATGTCCTACATGATTAACAACAGAGTCCTGTTTCATTCTCCAAATTGCCATGGTTACCTATCTACTGGTTTCTATCAATAGGTCTCAAGTGAGCACAGATGATGATCAATCCCTGCCTAAAGATGAAAGGCATAAAATCAAACCTAAACCCACTGCAGATGAGTTGACTCCTGCCCAGTGATCCCATAAGACAAACAGAACTGGTCCACAGGGTTTCCTGGTGGTCAGTCTTACAGGAGACTGACGGTTTCAGCTGTGTTTCACAGAGCAGCAGGGGGTTTGGACTGGACTCTCAGCAGTCCAACACTTAACCCACTGGACCAGCCTTTCCAAAGGCTTACCAGGAAGTGTGAAAGTAACATCTCCCCTTAATTACCATGGACAGTCCTTATCTCTGACACATTAAACCCATTTCCTTACCTTCTTTGTGTTTGTCTTTACATGGTCTCCTGGTTCTGGAAACTTGGATTTCAGACTCTTTCTAGATTTCATGTAATAATTGACCCCAATCCACTCCTTGTTGTCTGACTCTTAATCTTTGTGCCTATCTCCAGGCTCCACTACTGCAAAGTTCTGATCCATTTACTCAGAATCAAAGCTTTTCTGTCTGTCTTTGCTTCCTAATCAAAGGCATACAAGGTGGCTCTTATCATGAGCTGCTGGCCTCACTTTATCACAACATTCATGATCCAAAAATATTTCACAGCAAAAAAAAAAAAAAAGAGATTGATTCACAAACCCACCCATATGTCCTGTCAAAAACAGAAATAACAACACCACCCCGACAGAAACAAAACTACCTTTTCAAGGCAAAATCTCATTAGAACACACTGACTTGTAAATTACAGAAAAAGAGGAATCAAAAAATGTAATGAGCCTCGGTATTTTAGGAGTGGATGCTGGGGAAGTGGCCACAACAGTGACAATCACTTCGACTACCTTATGTGCAAGGTGGTGAGTAAACATTAATTTATTTAAACATCTTAGCATTAGAATGTTTATTACGACCCTCGAGTTAGTAACAATGAAAAGCACTCAGACAGGCTCTGTTTACTGATGTTTAAGTGCCAGAGAAGACATCTGACCTAAAGTCTTTTTTGGGTTAGATATACTGCTGCAGTACTCAGCATCAGAGCTTTGTTTGACAGTGCTCACAAGAGAATTGTGAGCGTACAAATACACAGAGCAGCAGCTCGAGTCTATATTTTAAAACTATGTGTGCGTCCCGGAATCAAGTGGTACAAGGAGAAGGCATAATGGCTAGTTCAGTTCTTTATGATTAGTATTTAGTCTGGGTTTGTCAGTTTCTTCAACCCTTCTGATTTTTGTGCCATTTGTTTTTTGCTAAGCAATTTTCTTTACTGTGTGGATCAGAACAAATTGAATAACACAGAATAATGGGAGTTCCAGGACATTTCATTGTGTTCACGTGGAACCTGTCTGTACATAGACCTAGAAGTTCCAATAGGACAAGTACTTACATCCAGGGACAGTGTGTGTCAAGGTTATATCATTTCACCATCTGTATAAATTTGCATGTTGAGCAAATCATCCAAGAAGTTGGACTACACGGAGAAGGCAGCACCAGGAAGGAAGGGTGGCTTGTAAAGAACCTGCAGGATTCAGGTGACAAATCCTTGCTTACTAAAAATGAGGAGGACTTGAAGCACTTGCTGAGGATCAAATCCTTCTTTACAACTCAGTGTGAAGAAAACCAAAATCCTCACAAATGGACCAGGAGGCAACATCATAATAAACGGAGAAAAGACAAAAATTGTCAAGGATTTATTCTTCCTTGGATCCACAGTCAATGCTCATGAAAACAGAATGAAGAAACCAGGTAACACTGTATTCAGCAAATCTGTTTCAAAAGACCTTCTTAAAGTGCTGGAGAGCAAGGATGTCACTTTTTAAGTGCTTCATCTGCATGGGGAAGTTGGACAATACATATGGATGACCACAGAAGAATTGATGCATTTGAATTAAGGTATTATTGATGATTAATAAAAGTATCATGAGCTTCCAGAAGAAGAAACAAATCTGTCTTGGAAGAAATATAGTCAAAAGGATCCTTAGAAGCAAGGCTGGTGACATTTCATCACACTGTGGACAAGTCATCAGGAAAATCCAGTTCCTGGCAAATGTCATCATGTTTGGAACAGCAGAGTGCCAGTGAAAAGGAGAAAGACCCCCACCAGATGGGCTCACACAGTGAGATCAAACAGGAACAGTCACGAGGATGGCACAGCTCCGAGCAGTGTTTTATTCTGTTGTACACAGGGTCACTGTGAGTCAGAACTGACTTGTATGTAGGGTCACTTAATAATAACAAAGTATCCTTCAAAATAAAGGTACATAATTAAGGTAGCAAAAAATCTTTACCTTTCTATACACAAGCAGCATTAAAAGAATGGAAGGAATAAAGAGTTACTGTACCAAAAAATAGTTGATCAATATGCAACCATTTCAGGAGGTGCCATATGCTTAAGAAGCAACGTTATTAAAGGAAGCAGTCTAAGACGTACTGCAGGCAGTGGAGAATCTCTGCATGAATCTCTGCAGCCCACTCGGTCTGTCTCAACAAACATGCAGTGCTGACGGTGCTCGCTTATCCGTGTTAAGAAGTCTAAAAGGCAGCTTCCTGGGCAACTACCTAAAAGAGACCCATATTTGAACCTATTCCAAAGAAAGATGATCCCAACAAAAGTCAGAAATTATCAAGCAGTATCATAAATATCACATGCAAATAAAATTTGGCTAAAGATATTTCAGAATTGATTACAGCAGTACATCAACTATAAACTGCCAGAAATTGCAGCCAGATTCAGAAGAGGCCTTGGAACAAGAGATACTGATGTCTGATGAATCTTGGCTGAAAGAGAACACCAGAAAGATGTACCTATGTTTTATTGGCTATAAAGGCATTCAACTATGAATAAAACAATTATGAATTGCATTGCAAAGACTAGTAGTTCTAGAACACGAACAGTTTATGCAGAACTTGTATACAGACTTATAGGAAGTCATTTAAATAGAAAAAGCAAATATGGCATCATTTAAAATTAGGAAAGGTATATATCATCTGGGTTGTATCCTTGCAGCATATTATACAATCTGTATGCAGAGAAACCAATCTGAAATGCTAGCATCTATGGAAAGCAGCATCAGATTGAAGAAGGCTCATTAACAACTGTGATGTGCAGATGACACAACCTTACTTGCTGAAAGCAAAAAAGATTTAAAATACTTATAGATATAGACCAAAGCCTTCAATATAGTTAACACCTCAACACAAAGAAACAAAATCCCATACAACTGGGCCAATAAACAACAACAACAAAACACATATCGAGGGTTTATAGGATATAATTGTTGATTTCACTTGCTGAGATGAACACAATAGACAGGAAATCAAATAATGCACTGATCAAATCAGCTACAAAAGCTCTTTCTACAGTGTTAAAAAAACAAAGCCGTCACTCTGAAGATTAGGGTATGCTGAACCAAGCCATGGTGCCTTCAATTGTCTTACATGCATTCAAAAACTGGATAATGAAGAAGGAAGATCAGAGAAGAACGGAAGCATTTTAATTATGAATTTAGAAGTATTATTGAATGTACCATGGATTGGGAGATTCACTGCTATTGAATTGATTCAGTCAAAACCAGCTGAACTCAGAAGTTCTATGGGGCAGTATAACTGTACATAGGGGTTGCTGGGACTATAATTCCTCACAGGAGTAGAAAGCTCCATCTTTCTCCCTTCGAGGGGTTGGTGATTTCAAACTGCTGACCTTGCAATGCGGAGCCTAACACGATAGCTCTGGCCTGCAAGAAGAACAAGCACATTTGTATTGAAGGAGCATAGTCAAAATACCCCTCAGAAGCCAGAAGGTCAGCTTCTGCCTCGTGTACTTCAGATATGGCACTCAGAGAGATCAGCCTCTGGAGACGGACATCACGCTTGGTGGAGATGGGCTCCACCAAGAGATGAATTTGCACAGTGGCTGCAACAAGGGGTCAAATACATGAAAGATCGTGAGGTCGGCACAGGACTGGGCAACGCTTTCTTCTGTTGTACAGTCGTTAGAATTTGAGACACTCAATGACACCTCACAACAATTTAATCCTCTGAGAATAAAATCGTAATTAACAAAATCCACTGAACTAAGAAGTAGCAGAATCTGTCCGAAAAGCCAATTTGTTTCTAGTGGGGTTTCAAGACTTAAAGTCTCACTCACGAGAGCTGCCTGTGATTCCTTCCACAGGTAGGGGTTAAGCAAAGCTACTCCTTTTCTACGCCTAACATTTTCAAACGGTGCTTTTCCAAAAGAAGTTTAAGAAACAATGAACTGACTTCCAGCACTACCCAGGTTGTAGAGTCCCAGCTCAGAGGTAAGAAAAAGTAGTAGATTACATAAGAACAGAGGTTATTTATGGTGAGGGTACAAGGAGTGGGCAGGGGCAAGGAGCAAGAGGGTTCCAGGCAATGAGAAGATGAATTTCACTGTAAGCTTATTTATTTTCCTCAAAATTTTGAATCACATGAATGTAGTATCACTGGTTCAACAAATTAAATCCTGCAAACCTTGTCTAAAAATCAACATTAACTAACCGTGCTAGTTAATCTTTTTATACAACTTTAAGTCAAGATCAAAAGAGAAAGTGATGAAAAGAATTTTCTCTACAAAATATATTTTAAATTTTAGGTGAAATCAATCATAGTTTAATTTCAAGGTGGAAGCAAAACCTTTAGAGGGACTAGATTAAGGGACCAGTGAAAAGATGAAAAATACAGTAATTTATTTAATTGCTGAAATCTAGGTAAAATTAAAAAAAATTCCTATGTGTCACATATCAATACCATTTTAATGGTCAGATTTAGCACTACTTACCTTTAGAAAGAGTGGGCTTAACTGCCATTCTGCCAACCAGGCATTCCTTCAACATGGATTCATAATTGACCCAACGATGCACCTGGCATCGGAGATAAAGGACAGAAAAGCAACATGTATTGAACTCCACATAGGATTCTAACTTTATTATAAGCAGAACTTATAAACAGTCTTAGATTTCTCTGAAAAACAGTTGGCACTGTGTAGATTCAGAGTAGAACAGGATCTGTGATGGTCGATTTTAAGAAAATGGATGGCCGGTGGTATTCATAGGTGCCTGGGGAAAGACTGGCTGGAAGCTCTAATCTGATTAACAACAGACCACTTTAACCATCTGCAGCACCCAAAACCCAGTCCAAACTCACTGCCAACTCATGTCCCACCCCGAGAGATTCCATCAGCCAACAGGGGAATGGCAGAAAGGCAGGATAGATAACACTGGCGTAAAACGCTGTTCACCAGGGGTCATCTATGGAATTCTGGGGGTATTATTCCTGGGCCTTGTCAGGTGTCCATGGGGTACAAACTAGATGCATGATGCTATCATTTGCATAACCTTACAAAAGCAATGGCGAGTAAAACTGCTGGTGAAGAATCAAAGCAGTGACACCCAAACTGTATTAGTACTCTTCTCTACCACACACCCACATGGTAGAAAATCACAGTGTCTTTCATGAAATCATAAAACTTATTAATTTTTTAAAAAAATTTTAAACATTTTTTAACAGTCTGTGTGACAACATGGGAAAATTTCAAAAAACATTTCTACTACACAGTGTGATGGTTCTCCTGAGGAAAAAGCACAAACACAATTGCTTGCTTTGTGAATTGAACTGGGAGTGTTTTCCATGAAAGAACAAATGATACACATACTATGGTTGTTGAGACTTGGATATATGACAGAGACTTCAAAATTAGCAGGGAGCCTGATCCTCTAAGGCAGGCAACTGCCAGCACTTATTGCCACACCCCAGCGGTGGGAATCAAACGTGCATCGCCTTTCTGGAGGCCATGCTGTCAATATGCAGTAAAATACACAGCTCTGCCACTCAGTAATTTAGGCAGTTAGCTGAGAAAATATCATCTACACACACAGATGTCGATGCCAGGATACTCATGTTTGTTTTGTTAGGTGCGACTGAGTTGGTTCCTAGTTTTAACAGCCATACTTTATATATAATTCACTGCCCACATTTCACATGTGTAAGGGGCAACTGAAAATGTCATGGCTTAAGGCAGGCACACCAGTCTTAAAGTGACATTTTTACTCTAACAGTTTAAAGAGGTCTGTGCGCAGATTTGCTCAATGCAGTACGGCCTTTGAGTTCTTGATGGCTGCTTACATCGACACGTCGATTGAAGAGCCAAGTAAAATGAAACCCTTGACAACTGCAATCCTGTATCACTTTATCACGGTGTTGTCTCCGGGCCCAGCTGTAAGGATTTTGGTTGCCTTTATATCTAGGTGTACTCTAGTCTGAATGCTACAGCACAGTTTCTCAAAGCAGGTGCTGCATGTCCTCTCTGCGTCCAGGAAGCAAGGTTATGTCATCTGTGTATCACAGGTCATGGATGAGCCTTCCTCCAGTACCAAAGGTGCGTTCTTCATATAGCCCGGCTCCTTGATTATTTCCTAAGCAGAATGAATAGGTATGGTGACAGGATACATCCTGACAAACACCTTTCCTGATTTGGAACTTTGCAATTTTCCTTTGTTCTGTTCAAACAACTGCCTCTTAGTCTATACACAGGCTCCACATGAGCACAGTGAAGTGTTCTGGAATTCCCATTCTTCTCAATGTTATCCAAACTTTGTTTTGATTCATATGGCTGAATGTCTATGCATAGTTAATAAATATAAGAACATCTTTCTTGCGGCTAATCTTCACAGCACTATTTATATTAGCAAAATATTGAAAATAACCCAAACATTTGAGACTAAGTGGCCAATAAAGGAAAATTACAATATATGAGGGGGCTTTAAAATGTGTAAGAGAAGACAGCATTGAAAAATAATACATTTTCCATGAATTTTTTGAAGCCCTCTCATATCCCAAGGCATACATTGATGAAAACAATCAGATCAAAGTACTTTTATGTGACATTAGAATTTACAGCTGCTGAGTAAAAAATATGTATATACATATAATAGGCACTCATTAATTTGACATTCATTTAGCAAATATTTATGGATTGTCCACTAATGTGTAAAAACACTATCTTTCGGGCAATGGGATTGGGTGTAATTTAAACAGATAAATGAAAGAGATATTCAAGGTGGCAACAATATAAAGTTCGTTAATCATGAGATCAGCTAACACTTTGCCTGAAGCAAGAAAATTCACATTAAGAATATTTAGCCTGTGATGAAACATACAACTTTCCTCTAGTTCTGTAATGCTTCCTCCCCCTCCACTATCATGACCCCAATTCTACCTTACAAATCTGGCTAGACCAGAGCATGTACACGGGTACAGAAAAGAGCTGGAATCACAGGAAATCCAGGACAGATAAACTCTTCAAGACCAACAATGAGAGTAGCAATACGAGGAGGGTAAGGAGAAGGTGGGGAGAGAGAGTGGGAACCAATCATAATGATCTACATATAGCCGCCCTCGGGGGTCAGACAGTCGAAAAGTGGGTGAAGGGAGACATCGGTCAGTGTGCGGCATGAAAAAAATAATAATTTATGAATTATCAAGGGTTCGTGAGGGAGGTTGTGGGAGGGAGGGGAAAAAATGAGGAGCTGACTACCAGGGGCTCAGGCAGAAGGAGAATGTTTTGAAAGTGATTATGGCAACAAATGTACAAATGTGCTTGACACAATGGTTATATGTATGGACTGTGATAAGAGATGTATGAGCCCCCAATAAAATGATTAAAAAATTAATTAGCCTGATAGAGTCGTTTTAGGGCTTCAGAAGGCAAGCTAAAGATTTGAAGTTTATTCCACTATAAATGGTCAGGTGCTGAGAATTAAGGAGCAAGGTGCTAATATTAATGTACTTTAGGAAAACATAAGCTGGCTGCCATACATCTTCAAAATTGATATTGAAGATAATGCTGAGAACATTTTAAATCTGGAGCTAGAGGTGATGATGACTAGAACAAAGGTGGTAGGAAGGAGTAAAAGGGTCTACTGTTTATAAAACAGGCAAAATCCATGGGACTTGGCCTCTGATCAGATATTGGGGCACCAAGAAGCAAAGGCAAAGATAACTCAGTGACTTCAAGTCCATACTACCAGAAACCAGGACTAGGAGGGAACAAAGTACCAGGGAACAAAGTACCAGAAACCAGGACGAGGAGGGAACAAAGTACCAGAAACCAGGACTAGGAGGGAATAAGAAACGAGAGGACTGGTTGATACTATTTGAAGGCTGAGGGACTTAAAATGCCACTAGGTTATCAAATTGTCCATCAGATGCTTGGAAATGCAAAATGAGAAGAAAGGAGTAAGATGAAAACAGGAGACATAGAAATGATACTAAAGAGATTACTTAATGTTCTGTGTACAACTCAAATGCCTGGCACCAGTAAATTCTCAAACATTTAACTGTGCAAGAAGCTTCATTGCAGTTTTTCAAATACAAAGTTGTTTACTTCTGTGGTGAAAGTCATAAATAATTTAAACATCACTGGTCTTACTAAAGCCAAGATGGAATACAGCAGTCTGTCCATTAAAAAATTGCTTGAATTGCCAAAGAACTTAACAATATAGCAGTTTTGTCACTCCCCCAAACAAGAGCTTTCTTAGAGAACGTCCATAGAACCCGACAGCACTTAGGAATATAAGTAAGACTAGATGTTACTGGAAATGCTTGTGGAAGAGTACCCTTGATACCAAGAGGTTACAGGGCAGATATAAGAGAAAGAACCACAAACAAGTTCCCATACAAACTCTAATGGTTCAATTTGGCCTGCAATCCGGGGTAATAAAAATGACCAAATGGCAATGAACACTTGCTGTAAAACAACAAAAAGAATCTCTCAGGTAGAGGGTCAATGAGAATACCTGGTTCTTCAATTCAGGAAGATTATTAACCTATGGAATTATGTCATGTAAGTATTTCACTTACTTTAAATACAGCACAGATTACACTTATGGCCACTAGGACAAAAAAACAAACCTTCAAATGGATGGCAAGGGAGGGATAGAAATAAAAGTATATTTGGTCAGGAGGCAACTAGGAAAATAGCCCAGTCTCATTCAGTTATCGCAAATGATGAAAAGCCTGCTATTACAATAGAGGTAGTCACCCCTTACGTACCCTTGGTCAGAATCTGTTGCATATAAGAGAGGATAGTCAATTAAGAAATAGATTTGGTTATTAAAAAAAAAGGTAATCATCATTAAAATATGGGCAAACCATATGTGAGACAAAAGCAAATCCATACTCTTCCAAACATTACTATCTCAAAATAATAGTTTAACAGATTGATAGTAATTAGCATATTCTGTAAGACCTGTAAGTAACGCATGAGCTACTATTTGTCTTTAGTAAAAATTATGGGGGGAAATGTGACTAGCTGAAGTATCTTTTGAGATGCCCAAGCAGAATTTCTATACATTCAGAAGAAAAATATGTAAGGTTTCTATTCAGTAATCAATGTTATTTAACTTTCTACATTGTATTTGAAATTGAATGTACAATAACCCCCAAAGGAGGAAAACAAAGAAGAGGCAAAGTGACTTGTTGAACGTGATCGAGTAAGTTAGTCACAGATCCTCTGGTCTTCCCAGAAGTCAGGCATCACAAGTATCGACAGCAGAGGCAGCGGCAATTGTCAGTTGACAATACACCCAGTTAAAATCCTCTCTAAAACTGTGATAAAATAATACAAAGGCAAATTAAATGAACAGCTGCTACCTAAAGAGTATCTTTCTACAATTCAAAATTCCAGTCAACATCTCTGAAATTAATACAACTATTTTCTTTCTTCCTACAACTGTCACATTGTTAAATTTAAGGATATTCTCCCATTATAATAGTTTCAGCATCTCACCTGATCAAAAAGATCAGTACCATCCGATCCTGCTGCTCTCATTAACTCATCTTCTCCTCCAGGATGATACTCCATATACGGACTGACATTATAAACAAGTCCTGTATGAAAGCAAGAAGAAATTATATATTAAATCTACATGGAACTGTGTGTGACCTCCTCCCTGGGGGACAGACAACCGAAAAGTGGATGAAGGGAGACGTCGGACAGGGCAAGATATGACAAAATACCCATTTATAAACTATCAAGGGCTCATGCGGGAGGGGGGAGCGGGGAGGGAGGGAAAAAATGAGGACCTAATGTCGGGGGTTTAAATGGAGAGAAAATGTTTTGAGAAACGATGTACAAATGCGCTTTACACAATTGATGTGTGTATGGATTGGGATAACAGTTGTATGAGCCCCTAATAAAATGTTAAAAAAAAAAAAAAGAGCTGATACCAAGGGCTCAAGAAGAAAGAAAATGTTTTGAAAATGATGATGAGATATACAAATGTGCTTAACACAAGGGATGTAGGTAGGGATTATGATAAGAGCTATAAAAGCCCCCAATAAAATGATTATAAAACACACACACACAACAAAAAAACTATAAAAACTAAGGTCCAATAAATTGTTCCAAAAACAATCTATTTTGAAGTATTAAGAAGTGTAAAAGTCATGGGATTTTACGGTAACTACACATTAGCACGTTAACCTGCCACCATTCCATTGTTGCAGGCAGAAGACATGAGATTCCTAGGTCAGAGACAAGGGACATCACTCACACTGACATAGGAAAAATCAATACTAGAAATATGACATAATTTAAGATTTAGTTTGTTAAAAATTCATAATGTAACAGTCTCCTCCTTTACAGTAAACATTCCTTTTAAGCTTAGTCAGCAGGGATGTTCCAACTTGGGAAGCAAGAACAAGGTCAGTAAGGGAAGTAGCCAGACATAAAACATTACCCCAATTTGGATAAACAAGGCCGCATGAAGCTTCAGGGGATGGTGATCTAATGATCTCTAGAGAATGATCATTGTAGAACCTGCCTTCTTAGAGAGTATCAATTGCATCTTGTGACCTTATGAAACACCTGCTATTTTCCTCCTATAATCATTATAAAAGATCCTGCATCTTGTATATTAACTCGTAGGTCAGTACTGAACTCTTAAACAGCTCAGAGAAACCTGGCTATTTTTCTTCTACAAGCGCTCGCAGGAATAAACTTAGAATTTCTGGAATCAACCTGGTCTCCGTTTTTGGCACGGTCACAGGTTCTCCGGCATCCTTTGCAGTCTGACAACAAGAGCAATAGCAGTTGCTAGAATAGCAACATCTCTATTGGTTTCTTGAACTCCAGTTCTCACAGAAAGTCAGGAAATATTGACACAATTATTTTTAAATGGGTTGTAAATATTTTATAATGGGGAATAAACAAACGTCTTTATTCTGGAGGGCAAAATTATCTCTATCATCAAAAGCTGTTCCTTATATAAACTCTTATGGACTGAATTACTCCACCCCCCTAACCAAAAAAAAAAAAAAAGTGCCAACATGGTTGGGCCATGATTCTTAGGACTATGAGATTATCCTCAATTTTGTCATCTGATATAATTATTCTCCGTGTTGTAAATCCTAAATTCTATGATGTTAATGAGACAGGATCAGAGGCAGTTATGTCAAAGAAGCAGAATACAATCTACATCGTTAGGCTGTATCTTGGATCAATTTCTTTTCAGATGTAAAAGAGATTTAACAATTAAAGAAGAGATAGAGGGACCAACTACCACCAAGTAAGAAAAGAAAGTGGAGCTCAGGCCTGCACTGAGAAAGCCTTAGACCAGGGGAAGACAGGTACCAAGTGAGAGGCGATCTCCAGGGAGTGCAGGCCCACAGATGTTGAGAGGAGACAAGGGTCCTCCTCTAGCGTTGACAGTAAGACAAAGCTGTCCTGCAGTGCTGATGCCTTGAAGTTCTACTTCTAAACTTGTAAACCCTAAGATAACAAATTTATGTTGTTACAACTGTCCACTCTGGTATTTTTCTTACAGCAGATCTAAGTAACTAAGATATAAACAAATATCCCTGAAAAGATTGCCCAGAACAATGGCAGTCAGTGCTTTCTGCTCGCAAAACATGAGGAAACATAAAAGACCCATAAAAAATTGCTTCCCAACACAAAGAAATGGTGAAATACCGTGTATGTAATTTTAAAAAACATACATACATACACACCGTACACAGTGATAAGATTCCCACTCCATTATCCCTTATCTAGAAAGAAAATCTATTTTTAAAGTAAGTCCAATTATTCTCTGCAATTACTCAAATACTAAAAGTTTGATCTTAATAATATTTTTGCCTGCCAACCTATATTTATGGCATCTGTCCACAAATTTAAATATATTTTTATCTTTTAAAAACAATAACTAGGAAACACCCCAAACAGCAAAGTCTCTCAACAGATAGCACTTCCTAGGGAGTGCTTTTCAATCGCGGACTTAAAGACAGGGCAGTGCACAACTGCAGCCCCAAAGATAGCTTAAGAGTACAGTGCGAGTCCATGTAGCCACAATGCTTCTTTTAAAATATAACTGCATCTATGAATTTAAATCGGTTAAAATCTCCATTATATTTCATAATCTTAGAGGAAAAAAGACACTGCAATTTCTCCCCAGTTTAATTTTGGAAAACAAGTAAGCAGTCTGAATTTCATTAAAGAGTCTCTTAAAGGTAGGAATAATTGGAATTTCATAGAATTCTCTTATAGCAGTTCTCCAAGTAAAACACACACACACACACACACACACACACACACACACACACACACACAGGATCCTCTTTCACCTACCTCACCAGATGTGGAAGGAATTCTAGTGTTCAAAAATGCACAGATCAAAAAAGGCAAGGGTACAGATTAAGATCTGAATTATACCCAACATGCTTTTTAAGACAGAGGATAGCTTCTAAACAAAAGAGCCCCCACACATTCTCTGTTATGAGTCCTGAACTAGGGTTTCCTGAGAACAAAAATCTACAACACACAATCATGCAACTTTCTATGAGAGAATTTCCCACATTCCAAAAAACTAGCTAAAAGATAAACAACTTTAACAGCTATCGTTGATCAACGCCTATTTTTTGAAGCATATCTCTCCTGTGTTCTCTGCTGTCCCTCAATCCTTTAGATTGGAATCATCCTCTCATAATCTTATCCTGCTTTCCAACAACACTAGGATCACTCTGAACCTGAAACTTCCCATCTCACTACAAGTAATTCAGAATGCTAGTAGACAGTAGCTACAACATGAGCTGCCCAGATGCAGCCCCTGGGCCACTGGACCAAGAACCCTGGTGCAGTACAGACACAAATGTTTGTACAACATCCAAATCGTATCAGATCCTATCTAACAAAATGTATCACTAATGTTAAGTAAACCACACCTGCATATGTCTTCTCGCTATCTATGCTTGTACACACACACTTACAAAGTCACAAGACGGGACTTCAAAAGGTTCATGGAAAAATTCCATTACTTTTAATTCTATGTTTTCCATGAATTTTTTTAAGCCCCAGATTTTGCCGAGTCAGTTCCAACTCAGAGCACAGCTATGCACAACAGAAGGAAACACTGCCTGGGCCCACACCATCTTCACAACTGATGCTGTGCTTGAAGTCATTGTCTTCCTACCGATGGGGCTCCTCTGGCACTGGATACATTTTTTGCTGGTATTCACTAAGTTTTCACTGGCCATTTTTTTCAGAAGTAGAACATCACATCCTTCTTTTTAGTCTGTTTTAGTCTCAAAGTTCTGCTGACACCTGTCTACTGTGAATAACCCTGCTGATCTTGAATTACTTTAGCTTCTAGCTTAGCTTCCAATTTCACAGCAACACAAAAGCCACCACAGTACAACCTGACAGATAAGTGTAGGGTACGTATGAAGGTTTCCAAAAGTTTGTTGAAAATCGTACTCATAATGGATTTTTCCACAAACTCTCTTGAAGCCCCTTTGTGTAGACAGATAGATAACTTAGGTTATAAAAGTATACACACATGAATATATCCTATTACATGGTGATCGTTTACTTTGGTTTCTTTTTTTATTTTTTAAATCTCTAATTTGGTGTAGACACAAGAAAAAGACTGATGACTACTGTTACGAAAAAAATCATTGATCACAACTGAAATATAACAATTGTATGAAGAAGATACTTCCAGTGTCTGAAAACAAAATCACTTTTAAATGCTCAGGAAGTATTTCTAAACCTACTCCTATCAAGCAGATTCCAATCCATGGAGACCGTGTAGGGCGGAGCAGAACTGCCCCATAGGATATCTCATGCTGAAGCAGACTACTACATTTTTCTTACACTGAGTAGCTAGTGGGTTCAAACCATTACCTAGAGAGCACCTGAGTACGTTAACCACTGTCCCAGCAGGCCCCTGGCACTATTTAGAGTACATGTCCTAGCTCATTCCCTGCCACACAGCTCCAGTGCAGTTGAAAGTGAACACTCAGATCTAAAGCTGCCCTCAGCACACCGTTCCTGCCCAGAATGTACTGGTAGCATCTGTTCTAATTTTTCCCATTACATTGCTTTTGTGTTTTATGCCTGGAACTCTGGACTCTCAAGTGAGTTCTTAGAATAAAAACTACTACCCGTTTTAAAATCACCACTCAGTATTTTTTACTGCCAAAAACTTACACTGTCAATTCAGTCAGAGAATGATAAATTTTAAAATGGGAGAACTGGAAAAGCAATGTAAATTTAGGCAGCCTCTCATCCAGCTCATGATTCGCCATCTCAGCGTTTATGGAGGGAGTACCAGCCAGCAACTTCTAACGCTTCAGTGTCTAGGGTGTCACCATTTTTTGTAAACTTATAAAAAGGTCCGACTCTTTTTTTATCTAAGACTTAAGGTTTCCACTTCACATGCATCTTCTACTTTGGAAAACATCACCTATAGTTGGTTTGTTTTTTTCATGGATAATTTCTACATTAATTTCTTTATCGTTAAAGGCCAACTGCTACTAATAAACATTTAAAATAAAACAGTAACCTTTCACTTTGTAAAAGGCTGTTAAAAAAATAAGCAAAAATATGTAGG